GATCTCTCAGCATGCTACACTGTAGATGTTGTATGCTAGATCTCTCAGCATGCTACACTGTAGCGGACTACAAAAGGTTTATCTACCATTTAGAACACTGTTGTTACTTTGACAGTTTTACAGGGGCTTTCTAGTTCTATATTAAGAGTGAATGCCTTTTACTTGAACCTGGACTACAACAAAACAATCCTACGTTGACAAAACTGGAACCGATCAGATTCTTTCATCTGTGCCTCAAACATCATTAATTAGCCTTATCAAAGTTACCCGTAAATATCTTTTTTTTACAACTTATACATGCCTAATAGTAATAGGCCTAGACGATTGTGTTAACGGGCCATTTTGAGATTTATTCTCTGTAATATTATATCTTTATATGGAGATATTACGTAGATTAGCTAGGCCTATTTAGCACTATTATTTCCTGTATTTGTTTAAAATTTCATATAGCCTTATTATCGGTCCTGGACTAGGTTGCACAGACCTTATTACTAGTACTGGGCTAGGCCTATGTAAATTTGCAGTTTAGTTTTGCATTATTAACTGAACACAGAGGTCCTTCGTGGCGTCGGATCTTTACAAACCACTGTTTCCTTCTGTTAGAATCTGTAGGAAAGCTGTGAAACAAGAGAATTTTGTTGTAGTATGCACCATCAGTGATACACGATTCCACTGTTGTCTGTTAAGAGTCTCATTTTCGATTTAGGATGGCTGGTGCACGATATCGGTCTATAGTTATCTCAACCTTAATTCTACAAACAAAACCCGAAGTATCATTAACTGCATTTCATACTGAAATTAATTAGAAGCGTGCTTTATATTAACCAAAAATTATAGCTTCTGTAGTTCTAATTAACTTACATTACAAAAGACCCATAATTTATGAAAAATCTTTATTTACTGGCTTGAAATAACATTCCAATAATAAGAACATTTCAACTACACACTTTACGTGCCACAAGCCACAGCCAACGAAGCCTTTCACTCAGCTTACCCTATGAGCTCTTTATGTGATATGTAAAAATCTAGTTGAGATTTTGCCAAAAACCTTGCTATAAGTACACGTGAAAATGTTACATCCAGAAAAATACACATTAGCATGAAGTGGCCTCCTTTGATGTGCTGCTCAAGAACTGCTGCTAAAGATAAAAGAACCAAACCAAAAGGTTGAAAAAGGCATCAGACTTCAAACAGTTGTGTGAGAAATGCTAAAGGAAGGTGCTCTTATACAGATAAATACAAATTCATAGCGTTTGGCAACAACAGTTTGGTGGTAGGGAAGAGAATGGTATCACCGTTGGCGTACAAAATCTATAGTGTAGTGTGCTGAGAGCCCTAGCATACAACATCTGTAGTGTGTGCTGAGAGACCCAGCATACAACACCTGTAGTGTAGTGTGCTGAGAGACCTAGCATACAACATCTGTAGTGTAGTGTGCTGAGAACCCTAGCATACAACATCTGTAGTGTGTGCTGAGAGACCTAGCATACAACATCTGTAGTGTAGTGTGCTGAAAGATCTAGCATACAACATCTGTAGTGTAGTGTGCTGGGAGATCAAGCATACAACATCTACAGTGTAGCGTGCTGAGATCTAGCATACAACATCTACAGTGTAGCGTGCTGAGAGATCAAGCATACAACATCATAGCATATCAACACTTTATATTTGTTTAGACTTTAGTTCTTTTCTATTTATATAGGTGTGTCACCAGTTGTGAGTGCAGTGACGAAATTCATTACATATATTATCTAACATCAAGTTAAGTGAATAATTTATAATTATTCAGTTAAAAAAAGTATTGTTTAGAATACTTAAATACATGTCACTTGGTCGTATGAATTATTGAATAACTGTTATTCTAGCCTTTATAAAGACACAAGAAAATTACTGGATATTTGTCATAAAATGTAAACCGTGATGTTTCCAAAATGCATATTTTATCTTTGTTATTTTTTTTATTATTATTCGAGATGTCGCTTCTTTCAGTGAGAGTTGGAAAGCTAGATTATTTTGTTATTCATGCCTCATTCTCAAACAAATCGAAACGAGGTTCTTAAAGCAACAGTGGCGACTGCAAACAAAGGCCTATGGGATCCTGGATGGACAGGTAATTTAACTGCCGTACCCGATATTTCAGTGGATGACGTTACTGTAATCATATCATACAGAGACATTCACAACTGTCTACAAAACATCTCACTAAAGGCTACATATTTGTACAAGTTCTTCTATGGGTCATAGTACTTGATATTGAAGGTAAATCATCTGTCACATTTTGTGTCATAAATATAGGCCTAAAACTGCACGTTTGGAATGTCCTACATTCGTTATCGTGTTTGTAATTTTTATTTCGATATTAACTATTAATTATTTAGTATTGTATGTGTATAATTTGGTGAATAATACTCTATAGTAGTTTAAATATACAGTACTAGGTGCTTGGGGGGGGGGGGGGTAACATGTACTCTAAGCCTATATTTTCTTCATTACCCACTCAAGCCGTCTCCAACCATTATTATTCTAAGCCTATGCATTGATAGGGGGATGTGGTCGACACTGAATATTTTTTAATCCCTCAACAACAACAACTTTTTATTATTACCAAGTTTAGACTTAAAGAATAACGCAGTAAATTATATTACAACAATGATAATTTATTAGATATTAAACCTGTTACATTGTAGCATACAAACTCAATATTCATACATGCTTCAAGTAATAGCAACACAGATGTCCATTGTTTAAATAACTGTAAACAGAAAGTTCAAGCACTTTGGCACAGACAAATCAACTACTTCACAAATACGATAAGACTCTTTCAACTGAGTGAAATTGTTGAGAATACGAACACTCACCCAGCCAAAGACAGGATTATACGTTGTTTTCTACATACACGGAAAACACGAACATTAAGACGTTGATATAGAAGCTTCTTGTACCAACCTTGTTTACCGTGTTTAGTAAACCCCGTTTTAGTGGATAGCTTCTTGTACCCACCTTGTTAACCGTGTCTAGTAAACCCTGTTTTAGTGGATAGCTTCTTGTTTACTGTGTCTAGTAAACCCTGTTTCACTGGATAGCTTCTTGTACCCACCATGTTAACCGTGTCTAGTAAACCCTGTTTTAGTGGATAGCTTCTTGTTCCTACCTTGTTTACCGTGTCTAGTAAACCATGTTTTAGTGGATAGCTTATTGTACCAACCTTGTTAACCGTGTCTAGTAAACCCTGTTTTAGTGGATAGCTTCTTGTTTACCGTGTCTAGTAAACCCTGTTTTAATGGAAAACTTCCTGTTTACCGTGTCTAGTAAACCCTGTTTTACTGG